CTTGGGCTCGATACTCGAAACCCGATCAAGTCCGCGCACGGGAAGAAAGTGGGCGGCAGGAACACATGTTCTAGACCCGCGGCAGGTCATCGCAGTTGAATACCCACATCACTATACTCCGTATAGTATATACACATCTGACTGGTACATACGAGTCCGTGTCATGAGGCTACAGGTGTGATAAAACTGGTGGTGAATTTGAATACTGTACATCTCACAGGCCTAGAAAAATTACAGTTACAAGATAACTATATACGAAGGATGGGAGCATTCTAGCCAGGTACGTTGCGATGATATGCCACTCCCAGGAAGTTTGCCTTGATCGTATGATGTTTGAATTTTGGACAGGGCAATGATTGATCTACCTGGCGGTGACTTACCGCCTACTTGTACTTTTCTTATACTGCATGAATTTGCATCACCCGAAGACGTTTAGCGGCTGCAGTTGTCGTCCTCGCAAACTACGTTTGAGACGCGGAACGAATTTTTGCAGGCTATTGAGATTGGAATTAGGTTCCATGGCTAGCTAAACTAGTCCCTATCTGTTGGCATAGCTATGCAGTCTGAATTGAATGATGTAGATTTTGAGAGTAATTTGACCAGAATCGTAGTTCAAGCTTCGGTTAGGCAAATCACGAATTGAAAGCAAGAGACATACTGTATTATTAGTATGAAAGAGATATGAAAAGGAAGTAGGTGGGGACATGGATAAAATAGAAATAAAAAAAAAAGTCCCCAATGGTATTGAAAAAAAAAAGCAGATGAGCAGTGGATATTGATGGGGAACTTGGCAGTATCGACTCAAGCTCCCACTCGTCGACAAGCCAGCGGTTTTGCCATGCCAGTTGAGTAATAGAACAAAGGACATACTCCGTGAGCTGTCGTTATACACTCCACAATTCCAGGGCAAAGAGGCATCTCATTGGGTGTTAAGAAAGACGCGGATGCTCTTTTTGCCTTTCTCTTCCCTCCGGTTTTTCTTTTTGCGGTTAAAGGCCGTCCACCGCTTCGTTGGAACGAAATTTGTACTCAAAAGCCACCGTTTCCGCCCCACTAATCCCTAGGTAATCAATCTTGCAGGGCTTGCAGCTGCTTACGGGGAACCCCTTGTTCCCGCGGCCCCGTCGTTCGAAGTCAACCCGTGATCCAGGTACTCCGCACATTATTATCGTGATCTTATTATCTACTGTAAGTTACAATGATACTTATGAATCTACGGACAGTGCGGGTAAGGGAATGGGAAAGTAAAAAGAAAACTCTCGCCAACACCATGCAATGTGTAAATCAATCGAAGGATGAGGGTCACCAAACCGGCACTTATACTTGACCCTTCTTACGTCTACATGGCAATACCAAGAAACTGCACCAGATTATGAGTTGAAGCGATGCTATCCGCATGTATGGAAAGGAAATGTCCTAGTACTCTGCAACGCACCTACAGATCCTACCTATGTAGAACTAAAGGACGACGACGCGTCTTTGGCGATAACGTAAATTAATGAGTCTGGATCCATAGCCTATTTACTAATTTGCGGTTCCAGGCCGAGAGATCAACAGACCCAATTTAACTGGAAATTATCGAGACCTGGAGTTCGTGAGGCCGTCAGTCGCCCGAATAGGTTGAACAAGATGTTAGAATTTGGAGCCCTGCCTCTCCCCTTGATACTACAGAGAGAGGAGGTAACTGTTCTGAAGTGATTAAGGCTCACAGCACATGAGAAGTGTCACTGCGCTCAACCGAATAGACCCTTTTTTGAGACAGTCCTATCTACCTTAATTGGTCCAAGGATACACTGAAACTGAAGTTGTGTATGACAAGGCGGCGGGCCTCAAGCCATGGGGCGTACAATACAGTGTAATGAATAGTGCTGCATATTCTGCTGACAGACTCTTGTTGTGTCGGAGGAAAGCATTGAGACACTACGAAGCTTCTCTATGGCCGCATCCTGTCGAGACGTTGTATGTAATCCTTGTCTATGCACGCTAAACGGTAACAATATGCAACATGCATCAGCATCCACAGCCTTGTTCACTTTAAATGGCTGACGGCAATAAGTCTAGGACAAAGTAAGTATTTACCATGTCAACAAAACCAGTGGTAACATCTCACCTCAGAAACAGTAAAGGCCATTATTCGAAGGAAATTTAAGCAGAAATGGGGGGAGGGGGAGAGCGAGGGAAGATTTACTTCTGAAAACAGGAATCCACCTCAAGAGTCAAGATGATCCACCATGCCAACCACGGAAAAGAGACAGACGGTTTGGCGCCAGGTCGAGGATTAGGTGAAGGCAACAAAAGCTTGTGGATTCATCGCTTCCCTTCAGGCTTGGTATCGTAAGGAGTTTCATAAAAATATATGGAGTTCCACATTACATGACCGCCTAGGCAAGCTTCAAAGGGAGACTTCAGTCAATGATGGCTCAAGAATAATGCATATCACGTGTTAGGATGGATGCCTATCTCAGAAAATCATAAATTATAGTTCAGTCAACAAGCTAGAAAGTTATAGACCTAATAGTAGACATACTCCAGACACAGCCATTTTCAGTGGAACGTTGATTGCCCTCATAACGTCGGTGAAGTCAGGAATGAGATGCAGAAAGTTGGACGAGGCGAACGGGTGCTAGCAGGACCCCGGATCCCAGTAGTGTCTGACTAGTGACATTGCCTTTGGCTGATACTTACCTTTTCGGGTTGGAGTTCGTTCGCCGTTGACAGGATCCATCGCCATGGTCCGGCACTAATTGGACAGACAGTCCACAGCCGTTGGGACTCGGAAATCTAAATTGATTGTGAATGAACCAACCAAAACAGGGAAAACGGGAGAAGAACCTGAAGCGGAGGCTTAATTAAATTGAGATGCAAAACCTAAAGAGTACCAAAAATAAAGATTTTTTCCTACCCCCTCTTCTCTTTGAAAAAAAAAAAGAAAGGAAGAAAGAAGAAGTGAGTAATGGTGGTTTTCTGGGTTCACAGTATCCGAAAATTTGCATGGGGAATACTATCTTCTTTTTAAATTACATTTAAAAGAATTATCTCTATTGCTGGATGATGAAACCGTATATTCATGACGGTGTTTCCAGTATGAGCAAATGAAAGAATTTAAGTCCTTGTCAAGAGATGCTTTTAGGATTTGACGCCGTCGTCGTTACGCGACCCATAGATGCTCATGTTTTTGTTTTGGTTGGAGCTTCCAAAACTATTCATACCCGGTTCAGGATGATGCTAGTCTCCACAGGGAGGAACCATGTTCTTCGTAGCTATGGAGTACTCTGTCGGGAGTTTGTATTATTTTCATTTTATTACTATTGTGTACCTTCAGGCTCCCTCCCGTATCCACCCAACCCCAAGGTAGGTACGGAGTAGATGGTCTCTCTCTCTGTGTGTCACTGCCTATTTCTTATCGTTCATGTGGTATTTTCCCTATTCTTATTTCTTGTTTCGGACTTTTTTTGATTTGTCCTTATCCCTTCTTACTCTCCCCACTTTTTGACCTTCATGAATTACCCTAACTTTCGGGTCGTATACCGGGGTTCCCGGTTGTGCAAGTGGCTCAGGCCTTAAATGCCTTTTTTTTTTTTTTCTTTTCTTTTTGTTTTTTTGAGGGGGGGCTCTCTCTTTCTTCTTTCCGCCTCTATTGCATAGCTCATTTTACTTTTAAACTTCTTGCTTGCTGCCACTCTCTCATAATACATGTCTTGCTCGGTTTATATTCGGTCATTTGATTAAAGTACCTACCCACCACTCTGTATTCCAAGCTGAAGGAGTCAATTGGGACTGTGATAGTCTAATATAGATGTGTACCCATTTGCGTTCACATATACGTTTACATATACATAATGGACACTTACGACTTACATATAAGATAAACTTATGCAGAAGGTCTGAAGCTCGAGCTTCTACCAGACTCACTCTTTAATTACCAGACGTTTGCCCTTACGGTCAGGTTCCTGTTTCGCCAGCACATCCGCCTACCGAGTCATCGTCAGAACCCAAACTGGGCTCGAACGTTCGGGAGAGTTTGACCGCCAGTGAAGTCTTCCATTCAAGTATAGTTCAGGACCCGAGGAGTGGAACCCTCGAGTAAGTGATAATCGTCGTTGTTAATATTAATATTATTGATTTATTTATTTAATATTCTCTTTTTTAATTTCTTTCCCTTTTGAGAAAAAAAAATCCTTCTTAATATTAATTTCAGCAGTGTTGTGAATAGGTAGGAAGCAACAGCTGGTCATGACTCTCTAGGCTCTTTACCTTTCGCAGTACAGTAGAATGCCCTTGGTAGTTTCATTAACTTCGTAAGAACTGAACCGGAAGAGTATTAAAGAGCACGATGGATTAGGTAGATACCAGATAGACGTTAAGCTGCAACCCGGGACGGAAAAGTCATAATTAAAATCACCTTGAAGTGTGGTACTTCGTAAAATTAAATGCTATTAATATTAACGGCTTCTCGAACCCACTGGTCCGTCAAAAATCGCCTCTTGTTAGCTTCCCCCATGCCCTATTTACCTATCAGGTACTTTACTTACCTTGACCTGGGCCTTACTTTTTAGTAGTACCTGTGTAGGAGTATTGCTGCTAAACTTCTTATTTGCTATTCGGCGATGTTAGATCACCTGTCAATGCAGGCGATCTGTTTTTGCATCTCAAACTGTTTCATCTCTCGTCGGCTTTCCTTTTCCCTTTTCCCTACCCTGCTTTCTTTGCTTTTTCTTTTCTTCCTTTTCCCAACGTCTCTCTATCGCCGTTGACTATTCCTAGTTCTAGTCCCTTGTTCATCCCTGTCGCTGACATCTGTCTGGACTCAATATCAAACCTAACCTTCTCTCCTCGTTTACTGGGTTTCATCTTTCTATTATTCCTGGTGCTTTAACATACCTTTATCTCATCGGCTGTATCGACTTCCTAACTATCATTGAGAGTGTTTATTCGTTATTCCTGTTCTTCAGCTATACCCTTTTTTTTTACTTTTTTCTTTTTTGTTGTTGCTTTCTATTTATCTACTTGTTTTCTGGAGCTGGGGAACCTCTAAGAAATTGTTAGTTGAACCTACAAGACGCCCTGCGCTCTGGTAGTGCCATTTACGTTCTCAGCTGAGGTACTGTGTTGGAACGCGCCGCACTTGATTGGCACCTTAAAGTTGGACGGGAAAGGGTTAATCGGACAAGGCCCTGCTTTTTCATCCTTGATATTGAGTCAAATTTTCACTTGTGGTTACCCCTCAACTATTGTTTCAGTTTCGTCGAGGATTCTAGTCGCAAGTGATCCTTGGAACCCGGCACTTAAAACGGTAGTGCACCTGGTTGCCGGATGCTCTTATCCGTCTAGACTTCTAAGATATTCGAAAAGAACGAAAAAGCTTTCCCGTTGCGAATCGCGCATATGATTGCGTTACAAAACCAAGCTATCTTGCCTCCCGCCAAAGTGGATATCTCATTGCTGTTGAAGCCCCAAGATGAGGAGGCCGCCGCACCGGTGACCACTACGTCCACCTTTCCACCAAATCCAATCCCTCCGGCTCCAATGGCTCCGGCAATTCCTGTTATTGCCTCAGCATCGGGGCCTTCTATACCTCTCACCAAAGGCCCCTCATCGCTTCCGGCTAAGCGTCTTCAACCCGCTCATACAGCAGAATCACCGGCGAAAAAACAGTCAAAGTGGTCTCCCGAAGAAGATGCTTTGATCATTGAATTACGTGGTAGTGGCATGAAGTGGGAGGATATTAGCAAACGACTTCCTGGACGAAGTGCTATTAGTTGCCGCCTTCACTATCAGAACTATTTAGAGCGCCGAAGTGAGTGGGACGAAGACAAGAAGAATAAACTCGCAAGATTATATGAAAGGTATGTTGTACAGAGTCAATAATTGAAAGGTGATGACTGGGAGTTCGTTGCTAACTTCCACTGCAGATTCAAAGCAGAGATGTGGTCTAAGGTAGCGGAAGAGATGGCAATCCCATGGCGAGCTGCAGAAGCCATGCACTGGCAGCTAGGAGAGCAAGAAATGGCGCGTCGAGCCGGCGTAGTGCCCTTTTCGTTATCGAGTTCAGCCATAGACCCACCAACACCTAGGACAAGAAGAACCAGCACGTCTTTATCTCGACCAAGAAAAGGATCGGCATCACGCTCAATTCCCCCACCACAGCTACCCTCCGTTGAAGAGCTTACTGCAGGAGTTCCAGCATTTGCTCCGCCTCCACCTTTTCCTCCTCCAAGGGAGGTCTATCGAATAGGCCGTCCAATGGATTTAAGCGGCACCCACAGTGGTCATATGGGCCCCAATCTTGGCATTCCCCCTCGCACCCTTCCATAGGGTCAAAAGAACCAACTCTTTATTGCGTTTTACCTATGCCTATTATTTCTTTCTTTACCCCCACATCTCTTGCTGCATTTCAATTCTGCTGCGTTATAATGACTTGCATAGCGTTGGCTGAATATCTACCTTCGTCAATAGGAAGGATTTTCTCGATTGGCTCGGTTGATATGTGCCTTTCTTTTGCGCAGAATTTCAAGGAAGACCCGAGCCTGACGACATTTCCTTCTTGTTTCATCTCTCTTTTGTTATAAATAGATGCCATGAAAGATCTCCGGAGCTGGATTTCGGAGCACACGTTATTCCCATGTGTTACGGTGTTTTTCTCATTGGTCTCATCGTGCTGCAATTGCCCACCAATTGTCTTTTTCATAGCCAGATTCCAGTACACGACCACCCGCATTGATTATATCACGCTCTAACTCATTGGCCTCATAAAGGTGGTAATATCGATGGAAAACTTTTGGTTGCTCAGTTGGACCGTCTTTGGGGAAGTTGCTTGTCATAACCCATGGAACCATAATGTCCTGCTCGTCGCCTTTATCCCAGCCCCTGCGGCTGGTCTTCTGCTCGAGTGCCCATACATATAGCAGGACTTTCCCTCCGGGAGCCTCTGCCGTGGCGGGCTTCAAAGTGCGCAGAATCTCACGGATAGCTTGAATCCTTCGATCCGGGGTTGACAAGTGGTGTATCACAGCTATCGATATTGCAAAGTCGAAAAAGGAATCCGGGTGTGGCAGGTTTAGGATATCCGCCACAATGGCCGAGTGTGGTTGGTGATTCGCGGCAATTCGGGCAAGGTTCTCGGATCTGGCATCCATTAGTCAATCACGGGACATGTGAAATGGTTTATTCAAGAATCCATGAATAAAAGTGAGACAATGGTTATTTCCAAATGTAAATTAACAAAGCCAAAAAAAAAAAAAAACAAGACAAAGATAAAGATAAGAAATGATAACTGATAAACAGATTGATAAAAATACGCAAAGTATAATAAGTATACGAGGAAAGGAAGGTAAAAACAATTAAAGAAACCATATATAGATAAATGAATTTACTTACCTGTCTGAAGCAACAATAAAGACATTCTGGTTTACAGGTAGACATTTTCCGTTGCCACATCCCACATCAAGTCCGATAGCTCCGGGTGTTAACTCTGTAAGGAACCGTTTCACAATTGGCCACGCCTGATAGATACGTCAGCACACATGCAAGGTCAATATAATGCAAAAAGATGTGGTATATATACCTTGTAGCGAGTGGAGGAAAAATGACTTGCGATTTGTTGGTACACCTCATGGACATGCTTTTCTTCGTAGGCTTCCTCTTGGGGCATTTCAGTTACGAAAGACTGTTGGTCTGATGACGATGATGCCATTTCTGCTGTACTGCCTTGTGATCTTACGCCTGGTCACTTTTTGATAGAGCTATGGTGTTTGGTACAGCATAATCGGCAAAAGGCCTGGAGAGTGTGAGGAGAAGGAGGAGAAATCTAAAAGGCGTCAATCAGAATTGAAATCACCAAGAAAGAGACATGGTACAATACCATACACCGTACGTAATTAGATTGTTTCGAGGCATGTAGTGAAATCGATGCAAAGATTAAGGTTAGCGGGTACTTGCCATTTTTAGGTGGCTCGGAGAATATCTGAATCAGCAGATCGTACTTCTCATTTACTATTGTTCTTTCTTTTCGTTTTGTGTACTTATTGGTCTTCCCCTCCAGACATTACTATATTGTATTCCCTCCAATGTTAGCTCCATCTGCGCTGTAGCATCCAGCCGGAGGATTACCTGACTAAGGAGTGCCGTATTTTACCTCGACCCATACACACCCATGACATGGATCAAGTAATTTAGGTTTGAGCCAGTGCTGAGGCATACCTAAGATACCCACTACAATTTGAAACCTACTTTAAAGTAATGGTTAGTATTTATCTAGGTAAGAACTGAGATGAAGTACCCAAGAGCGATGTTGCATACGGTTGGTTGGTTACTCCGTGGTTTAGTAGGAAGAGGATTGACTATAAAAACCACGTGCCTCTGGATCCCCCAACCCAGGTCTTATCACATAGTAGGTACTTATCAAAGAAATCTCTCACTTGCACGTGATATGTTACCTGACGATCTCCCTCGTCAAAAAAAATAGAGCAACTCATTTGCACATCTAGAACCGCTGTTTATCGACTGAAGGGCACACATCCCAAGTGACTATGTCATTCCAACCGACTCCGTCGGATGTTTCTGTCCTCATTACCACGCCTACAGCAAGTGCCAATTCTGATCCACACTTCGTCACGGAGCGTCGAATAACTCCAACATGGACCGTTGTTCAATTAAAGTCAAAGTTGGAAACGATGACAGGGATACCCCCTGGTAGTCAGAGCTTGAAATTGAAGACACCAGGGTGCGCTGACCAATGGTTTGACGGTGATGAGAACATTATCGGTGATTGGGGGTTGAGAAAGGGCTGTGAGATCGAGGTACGATGTCTGAGGTAATTTGAGATCTATCTGAGACTTTGCTGAAGTCAGACATCGACCCAGGTTCATGATTCCCGCCCTCCTTCAGCACGGCCGAACTTTCATGATCTATCCTCTGTTGAAAAATACGTTCTTCCTGCGACCACCTATGAATCCCTACCAAATTCAGTATTGGCGTGGAAAAAGCACCAGAAACTTGGTCGGTTTGACCCAAATGTACTATCGCCGTACGAATCGGCTCGCAAGCAAGCAGAACAAGATGCCGAGGATATCAGGAGTCGAGGTAAGAAGCATAAATAGAAAAACAGTCAAAGGGAGAATGAAAAAAAAGAAAGAAAGAAAGAAAGAGAGAAAGAAACAACGTTTAACTATCAGAATGCCGCTTTTATAGGTATCGCGGTTTCCAAACGTGCGATTATTCACCCGTCCTCTCCGCCACATGTCCGACGAGGAATTATCCGCTTTGTTGGACCGGTGCCATCCATCCCCTATCCCGGGATAGAAACTAGAGATGCCGACTCTAGTGCTTTGCCTATCTGGGTGGGAATCGAACTCGATGAGCCAACTGGTAAGAACGATGGCAGCGTAGGCGGAAAGCGCTATTTTACTTGCCCTAACAAGGCCGGTATTTTTGTGAAACCCGAAAAGGTTGAGGTAGGGGAATTCCCGCCTTTGGGACTGGACGATTTAGAGGACGAGACGATGGAGGAAATATAATCGAGGCTAGGAGGCCTTTGGGGGTTAAATCGTATTCATATAATATCATTCAAAACATGCCAGTGAAACCTCACAAACAGAGTCCGTGCTCGCATATATTGCTATTAGGGATTGAGAGATGACAGAAGGAATAAAATGAGGAAAATGAGAAACACCGACAGCCCAGTATTCATTCAAGAGGATCGCTAAGCCCAACAAGATCGACGCCTATGACAGACGCAAAAATGAGAAACACAGATGAGAAAATAAAAAGCCAATGCTACATTCACATGAAGTTGGGAGAAATGAAGGAAGATAGGCAGGGGGCGTTGCTATCGTAAGAATAGAGCCTATGAAGACCTTACAGCCTGTTCAAAGACAGTCACTATGATGCTTTAGAGCCACCTGCCTTCTGCTTCCCCTTGGGCCTACCTTTCCCGACACTAAGAGGACGTTCAGCTTGAGGGGTTGGCTCTTCTTCCATAGTGTCATTTTTGGAGGCAGACCCAGGGGCAGAATTGTTACCCTCCACAGGGACACAACCTTGCGTGAAGAACAGCCGGGCGTCCTTCCCATGTGTGTTTGCGAAGCTGTAATAATTGCCTGAAGCAAAGCACAGATGGTCAGACATCTCTGAAAAAGGTAAACTGGGAAGATTTTGCCAAGCTCAACGTACCTCTTGGCACTTGGAATACGCAGCCTTTTCCAGCGCTAAATTGTACACCGGAGATGTCTACTTGTACTCGGCCGCGGCATACATAGAAGACCATGTGCATCTTCTTTGAGTTTTTTGGCTTTTTCACTCCGCCGCTTGGCAGCTCAACAATCCCGGAACCTAAGAAAGGAGAGCTAAGTAGTTTGGCAAACCGAAAACTTGAACCTTTGACATCCCTCGTCTCTATACCGGAAGGCGCGTATGCAATGTCTATACATCGAAAGATCAGCACAATAAATGATTATATGGAGGCTTAAAAAAAAAAAAGGAAAGTGGAGGGCCGGGTAGTCCACTCACCGAGGACCTCTTCCTCGTCTATCCCAGCCTGGGAGTCGGGATCCCACTTCCTAATGTAACCATGCAAAATCCCTTCTTTCTCCCAAGGGTCAATATAATCCTCATCATCTTCTGAGTCATTGTCCACCCTAGGTTTTCCCGACTTCGACCTCTTCGAAGGTCTGCCCTTCTTGGGTTTCCGTTTTTCCGGTTCGAGTTCTTCCGTACGTATGATCTCCTTAATGGTAGAGAGAGGGTAGCGCTCTCCCTCGGCAGCCTCGCCATCACCGTAGACACAGCGTTCGTTCTTCCAATAGGCAAGAGGTCGTACAGACACTCGCCCTGACCGAGTGTGTGTAGTGCTGCTATCCGTTGGAGTCTCTCGTTTGAGAATATATAAGCTTCGCCCCTTTAAAGGCCCCGTGCGTTTGACGTGATCCTCAACAACCCTATCCAAACCGGGGTGGCCTGATGTATTTGGTTCTCTAGTCTCTTCTATGGAGGCCTTGGTCTTCTTTGACAGCCTCTGTTCCTCCGTATCGTGACTAATGCTGCGCTGGCTTTTCGCGGGCCTTCCGGGACGTTTACGTTTCTGCGAGGTCTCATGCTCCTGTGGTTCATTCGACTCTGCAGGGATGTGAGTCCGACTTGATCCACTTCGAACTTTTTTTTTGGGTTGATGGCCGATCTTTATCTGACCTTCCTTCTGCAGGCCGACAGCCATTATTGACGGAGATTGCGTTGCTGTGCTGTTCTCATCTGGTTCCTCCATTTCATCTCCTAGAATTGTGTCGTTGCCAGCATCGAAGCTATCAGCGAAATCATCCCGTGTATGTTCGAGACTGTTCGCATTTTCATCCGCGTTCGATTGGCTATTCGCATCGCTATCCGAAAATGAAGCTGTTACTTCCTGTGTCTTCTTGTTTGCCTTACTGCGGGCACTGCTCAAATGATTCAAGGGAGGCGCATTTATAGATCGGTGAGTCAGAGGAGAAACATCATGTCGTAAGTCCCCCTTCGTATGACCTAAGCCCTTACCATCGGAAGGACTAGAGGAGAGGAGATCCCGTTGTGGGCTTTGGGATGATCGTAAACCGGGTGTTCTCCGAGGGGACCCAGTCAAGCCAGTCTTCATAGGAGAACGTGCAACAGGTGGCGGGAAATAAGAGTTTCGCCCACCATTCATACCGCTGAGAAAATCGGCAGGACCAGGGGCGTTTCCTGCTCACCCGCGTTGAGAAATTAATACCATGGCCCGAACATTGAAGAGCGTTTGTACGTACCCCCATCCATAGACATGCCATCGGAGCCTACCGAAGATTCATTCCCATTGCCAAAGCCATTTTCTCTTGCGGGAGACTTCTCTGGCGATGACCACATCTCATCAATATCCTCCATCCCATGTTCATCGCGCTTGCCTTCCTTCACTGAAATTCCTGTGCGACTGTATCCATTGTCTTCGTCAGTCCGCTCTGCAGCAGAAAGAGAACGTTGAAATGGGATGTTCGACAGAGAACGCTCACCGTCCAAGTTTACCGACATTGGAATAATCATAATCGCGAGCTTTCGCGGGCCCCCGAGGAGCCATCCTAGTGGAGTTCCGGGAGTGAAATGCGGGAAGATTAGCTGTATGGAAAAGTTACGAGTAGGATGCACGCGCACGCGCGCACACAGTATCCTAAGCTACTT